GGTAGTTCAAGGTTCTTGGCTGAAGTTCGTTTGAATGAACTTTGGAAAAAACTCTGGAAACATTATGAATTACAAACCCTTTATAAATCGTTCTTACAGAAATATATTGATTTAAACCACATGCAATTAGTAGCTGACCCCTAGAAACAAATATTTCTTATTTTCTACTACATCATGGAGTATTTCGCCCCGATAGTAAAACTACCAAGCTTAGAGTAGTTTTTAATGCCTCTTCAAAAACATCAAGTCTTTCTTTGAATGACATTTTGTATAAAGGCGAGATTTTGCAGCAAGATTTATTTTCAATTCTTTTGAGATTTAGGCAGCACACATTTGTCTTTACAACGGATATTTCAAAAATGTTTAGACAGATTTTAATTAACCCCGGTCATCGAAAATTGCAGATGATTTTATGGAAAGACAGTGTTGATGTGTGTGTGTGTGTGTGTGTGGTCCTGTACAAACTTACAAACTCAACACTGTAACTTACGGGACTACTTGTGCACCCTATTTCACTACCCAAACCATTCAGCAATTAGCTAGGGACGAAGGAGAACATTATCCTTTGGCTGCATCAGTTACAATCAGAGACATTTACATGGATGATATTTTAACAGGTAGTTCAGACTTTCAAGAGTTTCAAAAACTACAATTAGAATTAATTAGTTTATTTAAAAAAGCGGGTATGAGCCTACATAAGTGGTGTAGCAATACTCCAGAAATATTGAATTCAATACCTAAAGAAGAGCAATCTTGGGATTTCCATTGCCAATCATCAGACCAAAAAACAATTAAAACTCTAGGAATCATTTGGAGTCCACAATTTGATTATTTCTCTTTTAAAACCGTTGTGAACTGCCGTGAGTCTTATACAAAAAGAGAAGTTTTATCCATTATTGCACGTTTATTTGACCCCCTCGGATTCTTGGGGCCAATTCTAACTCAGGCCAAATTAATATTACAGAAACTTTGGGTTCTCAAATTAGAATGGGATGAACCTCTCTCCAATCCAATAGCTAAAGAATGGAACGACTTCGTATCTACCCTGCCAGTTATATTCAAAATATCCATGTCCCTCGACTCGTAATAGGAAAAGGCAGAATTATTATCCATGGATTTGCCGACGCCTCAACAGCAGCATATGGTGCTGTACTATATGCTCAATCGATCTCAGAAGAGGATGTATCTACAAGACTCTTGTGCAGCAAATCCCGTGTTGCACCGGTGAAACCAATCACTATCCCTCGTTTGGAATTGTGTGCTTGTGTGTTATTGTCACAGCTCCTGGAAAAGGTTTTACATTCCTTGACGCTACCTATACAGCAAATAAGACTATGGACTGACTCTAACATTGAGTTAGCCTGGATTCAGCGATCCCCTGAGCAGCTTAAGACGTTCATCGGCAACAGAATAAAAATTATACAGAGACTAACCCAGAACTGCCAATGGAATCATGTATCCTCTAATGAAAACCCGGCTGATCTAATATCACGTGGATTGAATGCTTCGGACATCTCTTCTAAACAACTTTGGTGGCATGGCCCAGACTTTTTAAGGGAAGAACTTGAAGCAAACCCAATTGACTTTGAAAAGATAACTTCTGACAGTGACTACTTAAAGGAACTTAAACCCGCAAATGTGTGTGTGCTTTTAACGTGTAAATTCTCTCTTATAGATGATCTTTCAAAACACACACACGTTCTAATAACTATACTAAATTGTTGCATATTTTGAGTTATATTTTCAGGTTCCTCCACAACTCTAGAAATCCTAGTGTAAAAAGGTCTGGTCAATTAGATTATAGTGAAGTGAATGAAGCAGAATTATGCCTCATTAAAAATCTTCAAGCCTCTGCCTTTCAAGAAGAAATCGAGTTTCTAGCTAAGAGTAGTTGTAATTCAAAAAAAGGTAAACTTTTCTCTTTAAATCCATTTCTCGATGGAAATCAAATTTTGAGCGTCGGAGGACGTTTGCAAAACTCGGATTTAACTTATAGTCAGAAACATCCAGCTATACTCCCAGCGGATCATCTTCTCACCAAATTAATTATGATAAATATACACAATAGAAATTTTCATTTAAGCCCTCAAGCTTTGCTTTATTGTACAAGACAAAGATTTTGGCCACTTTGTGGCAGATCAATAGTGAGGAAAATTGGGCACGAATGCGTAGTTTGCTTCAAAAATAAACCTATTGTAGCAAACCAACTTATGGGATCTTTACCTCGAGAGAGAGTAAACAGTAGTTTTCCTTTCCTGCATACAGGAATTGATTATTGTGGACCCTTTTTCATAAGGTATAAACACCAGAGAAAGGGTACTTACCAAATGATATATGTAGCCATTTTTGTTTGCTTAGCCTCAAAGGCCGTCCATCTCGAAATTGTCTCGGATTCGACCACAGACGCCTTCCTTGCTACATTGAAGCGTTTTGAGGCTAGACGCGGGAAATATGCTACTATATCATCAGATAATGCCAAAAACTTTGTTGGAGCTAATCAAAAATTAAAAAGATTACATAATCTCTTAAAATTTCCCGAAAAAAAACTTTCTTCTTATCTTTCTTCTGAAGGGATTTCTTGGAATTTCATGCCACCTAGAGCACCAAATTTTGGTGGACTTTGGGAGGCAGGAGTTAAATCATTCAAATTTTATTTAAAAAGAGCTGTAGGAAACCTAAAGATGACTTTGGAAGAATTCTTAACCATAATAACACAGATTGAAGGAATTCTGAATTCTAGACCAATCACTCCTTTGCCAGAAGATATTGACGACTTGGAAGTGCTTACTCCAGGCCATTTCTTGATTAGAAGACCCAATACTTCCATTTCTGAACCTAATTTGTTAGACAAGACAGAAAACACACTTTCTCGGTGGCAAAAATTAACAAAAATAGTTCAACATATTTGGACAAAATGGTCTCGCGATTATTTAAACAATTTACAGCAACGAAACAAATGGCAATTTCACAAAGATAACGTGAAATTAAATACAGTGGTCCTAATAAAGGATGATAACCTTCCTGTAAACAAATGGAGCTTAGGTCGCATTACCAAGCTAGTTAGTGGTACGGATGGGAAGGTTCGCGTAGTGGAAATAAAAACTAATAAGGGCAATATTAAACGCAGCATTGGGTAGGTGTGTGTTCTGCCCTCGGACAATTAATATGTAATTTGTGAAGTTGTTTCTTCCTTGATTTATGTAAAGCATTATTTGTTTATTATGTTTTATATCTTCTTTGATTTATGTGATTCTGTATATTCAACGGGGGGAGGATGTTCAGTCCGTAATTGTATCTATTTTTTGTCGCGAATGCCATTCGCCGACTGAGCACCTCCACCAACGTTTTAATTTAACCCTCCGCTTCAGTTGTTGTTGTAGCTTCCATCTTGGAACAGCGTGCGAATAGCACCATCTCGTAATAAACCAAATTTACAGTCCAAAGGTCGCAACGTTTTAGTTAAAACACGAACCAGCATTTGACAACGAACATTTGTAAAACAACACTACAGATATAATTGTTTCCTGGCATCATGTAATAACGAAAAAAGAGCTTAAAACTATTTTCAGCTCAAAGAAACATCGATGTGAAGTTGTACTCGAGAATAAAGGCAACCTCACTCAGATCTGGTAACTCACTGCTATCATCAGTATTTAATGTATATCGACAGTTATTGCAGCATAACTTTTTTATGCGTTGCAAATGTTTGAATTTTACTTTTTTCGATTGAATTCAGTATTAAATAGACTTTAGAAAGATATAAAATTCTTAGCATTTTGCGAAACGTAAAATTTTCTTTAAGCATACAAACTTAAAAAAAACTAACAATTTAAGAAAGAGTCCATAATTTTGGCCATCACTGTATAGTTTATTTTTTATGAGACTATTTGAAAAATAAAACTACAGTCGGACCCCCGATTTAACGAATTTTTTGTACGTTAATTCGAGGTTATTCATTATATCGAAGTACAAGCAAATTGCAAATTTATTGCCTTTACCTTTTAGAAATTCTATAAGCAACTACACAAAAAATATCCATAGTTATATATTACATAATTTTTAATAAACAGCTGAAATTTCTATTAGTGAATTATTATTCATCAGTTAATTACAAACTTGAACATACTGACTAATCGAAGCTTGAAAATCTTTTCGATTTTTGACTCAAAAAAGGTGTTTTACTGCATCATTTACATCTTGCTACATAAGTGAGATGTGTGTTATCATTTTCCAAACAATGTGAAACAATGCTTCTTAAGCTTTCAGTATTTGCGACTCAATATTCAATCATAATTTTCATCGCCCCCCTCCATACAATAACAATGTGTATTGAATTCAATTATACTTTACTTTGACGTTAAACCTACAATTCGACTTTAACCTCTTGAGTGCCCCTGGCGTGTATGAACGTCTCGCTCAGCCAGTGTGTTAATTGCCCCGGACGTATATATACGTCTTTTCGAAGGCTTTGGGATGCGTTAAAAGGACCTTGACAGTGTTTGCGAAGGATTTTCTTATTTTAAAGGATTTGCTTAAATTTATTCCTTTTTTACCTCACCCCCAATACACCACATAGACTCGCCTACGTATTAAATGGTGGTACTGGGAAGCAAAACGCGTAATTTTTATTTGGCATTTAAGGGTTTTTTTATAAACCGTACAAATTAACAAGATAAATTTTAATTCTTGCATATAATTTTATATATAACAAGCCCATGGGGTCACTGGTAATTATTAATCTTGTTCTTAGTATTTTAAAATTAAATACATTGCGCAGTGTGTACTGATAAATTGTTGTTGTTGTGTGTGTTTTTTTTGTCCTGTGATCATATGAAATACAAGTGAAGAACAGAAAGCATACAATACAACAGAAGTATATACACATTTATTACAGATGATGATCCCAGCATATAACGAGATGGATTGCGTTTCTTTTTTTTCGAGACGGGAATCCATTACAGGCGAAAAGACCGACTTCTTTCCCGAAGAAGATAGAACCAAGTCTTACTCGGGATTTGAACCCGAGCCCACTAGGTTACAAGCCGAGGGTCATAGCCACCAAACTGGCTGGGTGACACTGATATATTGATAAGTGTATTATATCAGTATAAATGTGTATTTTATTTTTTACTGTGTCAGAATGCATTTTATTTGTTTTCTCTTGTAAATTATTAATTTTTAAAATAATATTTTGTTTTCGACTTTCCAAAAGGTTCGCGTCCCCCTAGAAGGGTTATCATGCCCCCCTAGGGGGTGCACCCCACAGTTTGAAAAACAATGTTGTTAAATATTAGAAAATGTAACAGTTTTAATATGAGTTTCATTAACGATTCCTGCTTTAGAATGGCTATTTGTTGGCTCCAACAAATCAACCCTTTCCTCAACTTCAGTTGCACATACAGGATCGTAAAATGTATCATAATCGTTATAATATTAAAATATCTCGTTGTAGATTGGGATGAAATAAGAAAGGAATTTTCTGTTCTACTCTAGACTCCCACGATAGGTTACACTAATGACTCATGTGCACCTGTAAAGTCTAATAATTGTCTTCTATCTTTCTGGTTGAAACTTTCTACTTACCAGAAGTCTTTATTTTGTTACGGGCAAAAAAACTTGTCATTTTACAAAAAATCTATTTTTTCTAAAGTACAAACTAATAATAAACTAAAACTCTTCCAGCGGCTGAAATAATTCGCTATTTTGGGGTTTTTATATTCGTTAAGAAATGGTTTTGCCTTCGTTTTAATTGGAGAAATAGTAAAATTTGCTAAATTGCGAAAATCATGAATAAGGGTTTGTTAAATTGGGGTCCGACTGTATAAATAAAGAGTGAGTGTTATATTAACGTCACACAATAAAGAAACATGGCTATTGGCGATGGACCTCATTATTTAAAACTTAGGTCAAGTGACGAGGACGACACCATTAGACTCATTCGACGGTACGGGGGGAGCGATGAGTGAATATTTCCATCACATTGTTCAGCTACACGAGGGCTTTTGGTGACGTACCTCGTAATTTTGAGCCATGGTCAAGTGACAAGGACGACACCTGAGCTGGCACTCTACTTGACGGTACGGGGAGGGAAGTTGGGATTATGAAATTCTGCTATGCACATTTATACTATTCACTACTCAGTACTTACTTATGAATCATGATTTTGCTTTTGGTTATTTATATAACAGAAAAATAATTCTATTTTGTGTAAAATCATCAAATCCAAATTAATAATTTTTTTCATTTTTTTCGAAAATTCAACCTCTTTGCGGCACTATTAAGATTTTAAATTTTTTTGGAAACATTTTTTTTCAATTCCTACTATTAGCCCACACTCTTAATATATTTATCTTGTTCAAATTTTCCATCGTTAATAAAATACATTTTAAAGCACTCATGTGAGCTGAAATTTTACAAACATGATTATTTTGGAGGACAATACAATCATTTAATTATAGTTTAATAAAAATTAATTGATTAAAACTAATTTTTTAAATAATTACAAATACGGCCACGTTGGCATCATTTTGGCAGTGACCATTTTGGCGACTTGTCTCAAAACTTGAAAAGGTTTTTTCTCATTTTAAAGCGCTCATTTGAGCTGAAAGATTCTATACGCCATTGTTTTGGGTAAAAATACGATAGTTTAATTATAATTAGTTAAAATTAATTGACTGAAACTAATTATGTAAAAAATTACAGTTACAGCTTCGTTAGTTTTATTTTTAGCTACTTGAGAATTAAAGATTTAAAATATTAAAAAGACTTTAAAAGATTTTTTTCTTACGTTTTAAAGCATTCAATTAAACTGAAGTTTTATGAACACGATTATTTTGGATGACAATATGGTACTTTAATGATAATTAATAAAAATTATTTACCACTTAATGTTGTGTTTCTGTCGTTTTTGTGACGAATCTGTACGGAACCTTTCCAGTAATCTTCTTAGGCGTCTTTTTGGGGAATATAAATTCACGTATATTTTTCCAATCAACTCCAAGAAGATAAACGGGGTATGCAAAGTAGTTAAGGTATTTAAGACGAGCGTTGTGTAAGCTAGCAGACATGATGATGAGGAAGGCTATTGAGCCAGCAACAGTAACTTCAGTCTTAGAGGATTCCAAGATATTAAGATAGTGAAGACGTAGTGCTGCTATTATACTGAAGAACGAGAAAGCTGATATAACCAGCGGTAACTATAATTTATGTACACTTAAATTAAGCGTTAGTTTAGTCAAGTTAGTTAAAGTTAATGAAAGTTAATAATTCGAGTACGTGTATTTCTCGGACCCCCTATTTCGGTAGACCTTACTTGATCTTGAGCGTAATTATTAATTAGTTGCATAATTCGTAATTTAATTTAATATAAAAGGCAAATCCCTTTATTTGACGTAACATAAAAGTATTAAATGTTATTTTAGTTTTTTTTAGATTTAAAATAATAATTATATATATATATTATATTATTATACAAAATGGCTCTTTGTGAATCTTTGCCTTAAATTAATCTTGGTGTCCAGGGTGAGACCCAGGGGGGTCTCCACAATTTGCATATAAATATTTATATTAATTGTAACTATTTAATAAAAAGTAGCTAAAATAAAAATTTTCTTTGTTGTAGAAATTGACTTAAATATATATATATATATTACTTGTTTCTCCTAATCTCCATAGGGTCAGGGGGGATGGGTCCATGGAGTAAAAGAGGGTATATTGAAAACACCTGTTTTTTCTTTTTAAACAAATATAATAGTGTAGATGCTAAGTTATTTCTTTTTAAAAGACACATTGAGATTATAGTAAATATTTTTTTTCATTTTAGTTTCTGAAGTTGGCTACAAGTTGGATGTTTATTAAGTTTCTTGATACGCTGATTGCAAATGCTATGTTAGATAGGCCACTGATGAATTTTCATCTAAAATCAATATTAAAAAACTATTAAACTATTAATTTTATTCCAGACTTGTAGAGCAATATCTAAGGTACAGATCTACATAAAAAGATAAGAATAAATTTTACAACTTTATTTATCATGATTTGTTTTTGGGGGGAGGGGGTAATTTGGGGGTATGATTAGACTTAGCTACGTGTTCTATGATAGGGATATTTTTTACCTCTATGTTAACTCAAGCAAATGTCTAATGCTCTATATTTTACAATAAAATGACTAAAACAATTTATTTACATAGTATTTATTCACTAGGTAGTATAAGGTGTACAATTTTGCTTCCGCCGTTTTGCAATAGATAGCTGTACCGGTAAGTGGTAGTCGAAATAAATAGATCGTAGATGTCATATAATAAGCTTAAGTAATTGTAAACATAACGCCATCGAAATATTAGTCGATTTGTGTCAGCATCATAAAGTTATTCTCGATTAAACATGTCAGATTACGAGTTATAATTTTCTGCTTTAATATGAAGAAATCTGCGGCTGCGGCTCATCGAATGCTCTCGAATACCTAGGGCGAGGCCGCTATTAGTGAAAGAACGTGCCGAGAATGGTTTCAAAGCTTCAAGAACAGTGATTTTGTCGTCGAAGACCAGCATGGCATTTGCTGGGACCTGCTCGGCGTAGTGTATTATGAGTTGTTAAAACCGACTGAAACAATCACAGGCGATCGTTATCAAACGCAATTATTGAATCATAAACGTGTAATCAGTTTTTTACAATAAAGCCTCGAATTCCGGGGGGAAAATGGCGGAAGCAAAGTTTTACACTTTATATATTTAATACTGAAAAATATTTTTTTTTTAAATTTTTACTTCCTAAATTAGTTTAGGAAGAGAGGAATGGTAGAGAAAAACTAATAACCATGTACCAATAACACTTAGAGTAAGTACTAATAACACTTAAAATTGTTATTAATATTAATTTTTACACAGTCTTATAATGTTCAAACATGCCAAGAAATTATATCAAGAAAACAAGTGTGTGTGTGTGTCCCAAGGTACAGAAAAGATTATCTGAAGAAAGCAGTTTTGGAGGTAAAAAAATGGATCTACAATTTATGCTGCATCAAAGAAGAATTTATCTTCCTGAAGAAAATGTTAGAAGTCCCTCTCGCCAAGGACCTATCAAACAAATGCAGAAGAAATGCGCATTGTAGTAGCTTTACAATTTTTAGGACAATGTGGATTTCCTTTTGATAGAAACGATGTTATAAACCTTGATCAAACTTACTTGGCAATAAATAAGGCAGCTCAGCTTCTTTTCACGAATAGAAAACCTGGCATTGAATGGGTAAGAGGATTTGAAAAGCGGTGGAAAGAGGAACTCGGTAAGAAAAAAACCTGAGTATAAGTGAAGCAAGGATCATGGGTAGAGGTTGAGTACCGGTCAAGAAGTCAATCATCTAAATTAATTGGACCAGTGATAGAAATTAAAGAGTAATGAGTTCTGTCACATAAAATATCTGACTAACTATTACATTTTTCCTGCTATTGATGAGGAAGATTGTGTAGAGTTCAGTGATATATGCTGCATGCTACGTGAACCTAATTTTGATAGCCGTAGACATTATTTCTTTAATTAAATAATATGTAATTTTTTTCGCCCATTTCTTCACTTAAATATAATAAAGACACATTTAATTCAATGTATTCTTATTTCAAAAACAATATCTACATATTTTTATTTAAATATACACTAATTTTAGAACTGCCCCTTTTTCCCCACCATGGGAAAAACTGGGACGGGGTATCAAACCATGCTCTTTCAAATGCATTACTGTGAGAAAACAATTTTACAAAATTGAATGTTTATGCTTCATGTTTTTTAATCTAAATAAATCTAATGTATATATAGTGCATCAAAAGTTTCATTAAAATGAATTTAATTGTTTGATATTATGGCCTTTTCTTAAAAAAGCTTGGTCTGCGGTAGCCCAGTGGTCAAGGTATCGGATCATTGAAGGCATGTCATGAGTTCGGGCCCAGTACCACTAGACACCCGCCGTGTAGGGCAGCGATGCACGTAAATATGTCGAGTGCTGAAAAGTCCTCCCGTGGTGTGGTGTGGTAGTAAGGAGAGGGGGTGCCAGCTCAGGTATCGTCCACGTCACTTGAC